ACGGGGAAACACTGTCCGTGGTCTTATTATTATTAGCTTGACACACACAAATATTCATGTCTACATCCAGGAACTAATCTGCATTTATCATTCTGTGCCCAAGTGGGCAGATGGTGGGTTATTTTTAGATTCTGAAATGGTAACTTCCTATTCTGGGTAGCCAAAGCTTCATCCCCCTTTCCCTTCAACCTAAAGTGGGCCAGCTGCCCCACGACTCACAGGCCACCTCCTCCCCATTCAGAATCCATGAACATGAAGCTAATAGGAATCTTCTTTCTTGAATAGAAATTGAGTTTCCCTCAAAGAAAAATGACCATAGATGGGCATCCTAGGGCAGTGGCTGGAAATGGCTAAAGGTCCACTGAACTCCCTGGCTCTAATATACTAGAACTCTCTCCACCGCTTCCACCGTTCTACCCTGGGGAGGCGAGAGTTGGGATAAGATGGCTTGGAAGGGGCAACAATCAAGCAAACCCAACCTGTGGTAGTGGTTTGTGTCCACTGCATAGTATTTTTAAGACTCAGAAGCTCTCTGGGGAAAAAAAGGAAGAAAATTGGTTGTAATAGTATTAGGCCTGTAAAAATCTTAGACCGGGTGTGCAAGGCCCTAGTTTTTAAATTTTCCTCTTGATTGCATTTCTTTGAACATTCACTCCGACACTTGAACTCTAATTCACAATGCTATCGCAGGCTCGCCTTTATTAAGGGCTCACTTTCTGCCGAGCGTTGAGGTGCCTTTTTTTTTTTTTTTTTTTTTTTTTTTTTTTTTTTTACCTTCAGTCCCTCCTGTGTCTTTTCTAACAATCCTGTCATGTGGTTAGTATTATAATTTTCACTCGGCTGCTGAGGGAAGGGAGGCTGAGAGAGGGGGGCACCCTTGCCCAAGGTCACACAGTGAGCAACTGGGAACGTTGGAACTCAAGATTCTGCATCTTCAAAGCCCAGAGTTCAACTTATCCACCTGGCAATTCTGCCACCAATGTGTCCTCCAAAGCTTAAAGAATTATGAGTCTGAGATTGTGAGATTACACTACGATAGAAAGTCCAGCTTCTGTGGCGTGGAGATAAGAATGCGAGGAGACAGGGAGGCAGTCCAGCCCTGCGGGTAACGATGAGGAGACTGTGTATTGTGGGAAAATGCTGGGTTTGAGGAGGGTGTGTTTTTGGAGGACTTACATTTTCATCTTGGCTTGAAAGTGACCTTGGGCCATTTCTGAGCCTCAGTTTCCCTGTGTGTGAAGTGACATGATTCGATGTGGCGTTCTGAAGGTGTGGTATCTTTCTCGTTCGTGATCCATAGCGAGGTACAGTACCATGTGGCCACCTGCTGCCCCGAGCAGCTTAAGGTCATCAGGGTCAATTTGGGGTCTTCTCCCAATACCCTTTTTGTGTCCAGGTTTCAGTACTGTCTCCTCTGCCTCCTAATGTGCCTGCCCTTTGGAGAGGTTTTGAAATGAGTTGGTCATCTGCTGGGTACTTCACTCCCTGCATAAGAACAGAAACCACTTACAGACAGGAGTGAGGCTGGGGTCTACAGAGAGTGGAAAGCAATTACCGACAGCTTGACTGTTCAGTAAATTCAGACTCTGCAGTCAATTAGGAGAGATCTCAGAGAAACAGCTACTGGGAGTGAGATGTGCGCACCAGGCCACATTAAGCAGGCTGCAGTTCTGGCTCCCGGTCTGGTACTATTGAATGCTCTGGACCCTTGTCCCACAAGCTTTGGATTCTTAAACTGCCAAGGGCTGGGTAAATAGAAACATTCAGAGAAGGTAGAGAGAAGCCACACAGTCAGGCGTGCCTAGAAATTAGGTGGTGTTGGCACAACGTGTTGGTTTACCATGTAAGGTGCCCCAGCAGATGTTCTGACCAGTAAGGCTGGGGTGACAGGAGGAAGCCGAGCCCTTCAGGGTGAAGCCTGAGAGACTGCTCATCAGTCTGTTCCTGATTCCATACTCTAGTTCTGAATTTCAATCAGAAAGAGAATTTCAACTTTCCAGGCCTGTATAGTGCCTTCAAAAGGCAGAAGGGTCGCATAGACATAGGTGTATGGGGTGTCAGGCAAGGGGGTGTCATGGGAAGCGAGTGTTCTAGATAAGACAATGACAGCACCTGGTCCTTCTAATGGTGCCATGAGAAATCATGGATCTGGCATTGCTGGGTCTTTATTTTTCAAGGGAAATGGGAAATTAGAAAATCAACTAGTAAGAATTTTAAAAACGAGTGTCGTGAGGGACAATGAACTGGCTCAGTGAGTCCAGGTGCTGCCACCAAGCCTGCCTGACAGCCCGACTTTACTCTCCAGCATCCACATGGCAGAAGGAGACCCTGACCCCTATAAGTTGTTTGCTGACCTCTACACTGTGTACACACACACACACACACACACGTACATGCACACGCACATGCGTACACAGGCACATAACTTTAAAAATAGCATCAGCCAAAGGAAACATTGGAAGGGGTGTTCTTTCTTTAACCTAAGGCAAACACCTCACAAGACGGAGGGTCCTTTCACGAAGATATTATTAGTTAGGACATAAAAAGAGGGAGTCCATAGACACAGCACGGCTGCCACCTTGCAGGGCTGTGTGAGACGGTCAAGGAGTGTGCTAAAACCTTCCCTCAGTGGTTACGATACAGCCATTCATCAGGTGAGGGAGCAAAACTCGGAGGAGTCCAGGAACTTGACTGAGGTTATGGGGCAGGTTGGGGGAGGGGAGGTGCCTACCCAGCTTTGTCTTGTTCCCAAACCCAGCTGCATCCCCATTATGACATACTTGCTGTGTCGGTATCCTGGGGAAATGCCTTGAAGCAGTGTCAGACTCAATTCCCGGGAGAAGAGCAAACAGATCCTTTGGTGGGATATGAGTCTGGCTGTGGGCTGGACACCAGCCTGTCCTTATCCACCTCCCACCCCAAGCCCTCTGAGCTGTTAAGCCACGGAGGGCTGTTAAGCCAATTAAAGTCCCAACTCTGCCTCCTCTGACCCTGTAGGCAGCAAAGCCGAAAGCCATGAATCCCGCTCTCCCTAATCTTGAACTCATGGGCCCCGACTTTGCCCAGATAAGCATGGCTTCCTAAGCCAATTAGTGTGAGGAGAGCTGGCATGGGATCCCTCCCAGGCTGTCAGAGTCTGAGCACCTTGAGGTGGGGAGGATGGGGGGCAGTGAGCTCCTGGGGCCTCCCTCTAACAGCTCACCAGAGTCCAGCTGTCCCGTCGCTGCCTGTGTGTGCCAGCGAGTCCTACACCCCAGAGAACTTGTGCAGCGAGTCAGTGCTGCTGTGAAATTGGGCTCTGGGCTCCCCTCTGGGGAGCTGGATCTTTTGGTATACTGGGAAGAGCATGAACTCTGGATTCAGGGTCTCCATGAAAATCTTGCACCACTATTCTCTGAAGCCACCTAATCTCCATTCTTTCCAGAGTAGAGAGCATAGTTGCACCTGTCTTGCTTCTTGTGTTGTTTTGGGTTGAGTGAGGTAACACGTACAATGTACTTAGCAGGGTCTGGCCCCATCATTTAAGTACTCAAAACCCAGTGGCGGAGCAGATGAGATGTCTTGGCAGGTAAAGGAAACGCCATGAGGCTGGACAACCTGAGATCAACCCAAGGGCCTCACTCACATGGCAGAAGGAGGGAACCTGTGAGTTTTGAGTGTGAACTGTGGCACACACATGTGCACACGAAATAAATTTAAGTGTAATATTAAAAAACTGGCAGCAGGCAGAGGTTAGCGCCACTGTTCCGTGAGCAGGAGCCAGTGACTGGGTGGGGGCTGGGAGCCACAGTGACAAGGTGCTCATGTATTTAATCTCCAGATATTTATGGAGCACCTGCTGTATACCTGGAACTGTTCGACGTGCCAAGGATAAAGAAGTGATTAAGATGGCAGTGTGGACTGCAGTGGGTCACATAGCAGTAACGCTGTGTGAAAAGATGAAACGGGCTGGGGAGAGGGTCCAGTGGCCATGAGGAGCCTAGTCCCCACCTAAAAAGCCACATGTGCCTGTAACCCAAGTGTTGTGGCGGGGCATGGAGACAGGAGGGTGGCTGGGACATCCACTCTGGCTGCTGGATGAAGAATGGATAGGAGGGAGGTCAGGGTAAGTCTGGACACAGGAAGAATCTCGTAAGATCTCGGCGAGCAAGGATGGGGCTGGACCAGTGAGAGTGTGGCAGCAAGGGAAGGTCTCTACCTCAGGCTGGGCCAACAGGATCTCTTTCTTTCTCCGGTCCTCCCCGGTTTCCTCATTCATATAGGTGATGACCACAACCCACTCCCTAGAACCGGCCATTTTCTGTGACTTTGGGCAAAAGTCAATATTTACCCTTGTCTTGGTAGCGATGTTATCATCCTGTGGCTTAGGGTGTCATGACCTACATAATATACATATCATGTTGAGCACCTCGCCTGGAACACAGAAGCACTCGACTGTAATTAGTCCTTGCTGTTTTCATGATTATGTGTAACGTCAGTGATAAGTTAGGGTCTGTAGTCCTTCCAAACGATGTCTCGGTCGTCTCTCCATCATTTCAATCCTGGTACCCATTTCCTGTGTGTTGGTTATGAGTCTAGGATTTTGACTCATC